AGAGAGAGAGAGAGAGACTTCTGCCTGCACTCTTGCACCCAGAAAAAATTTATGGGGTGGGTAAGGACACCCCACCCCCGCCCCAAATTATAATAATAAAAGAACTCTCCAGTTTCAGGGGAAATCTTGCAGAATTTGCCCCAGAAAGCCCAGCCTGACTCGGCCCAAGCAAGACTCTTCCTTCTCCGAGGCCTCAGGAAAAGTTAGAGCAAGAAAGAATTACTCCTTTTTGTCGCGTGCAATTCCTGCACCCCTTTGCGTGCCTCTCCTCTGCTCCCCCTTCCTGTTGCTGTTTTCCACTCAGCCCGACTCAGCAGGAGGCAAAAAGACCTCTGCCAGTCACACACAGAGAGAAATGTCTCTGTGTGTGTGTGTGCGTGTGTGTGTGTGTGTGAGAGAGAGAGAGAACCCCAAGCGACCGACCGACCGACCGACCGCCTGCCCGGCCGTCCGGCCTCCGCCTGGCCCACCTGTGCCGGTTCTTGTTCTTCCTCTTTTTGTGGCTGCCGTGGTGGGTGCCCGAGGTGGAGGAGGCGGCTTTCTGGGGCTTCACCCCCTGGACGGAGCCCACCAGCTCGTCCGCCTCCTCCTGGCTGGGCTCGTTCTCCTGGTTGTGGAAGTCAGGGGAGGTGTCGCTCTCCGTCCCGCTGCCGGGCTCCCCTGGAAGGCAGACAGAACCAGAATCACACCCATACGTTCCCCCCCCCGCGCCCAAAAAAGCTCCCCACCCATGCAGGAGAAAGGGTGGAGGCATCCAATCGCTTCTGCCCAGGAGCCAGGCGGCCACCGGGGAGGGGAGGGGGCCAGGGAGCAGAGCCGGCGCCCCGAGCAGCGGTTTGGACAGCGACTCGCCAGGAGCGCGCTGCAACTTACGTTTCTCAATGAGCTGGTCCTGAACCCCAGCCAACGCGCTGACGGCCTACGAGAGAGGAGAGACCCGAATGAGGACGGCTGGGGGGGTGTTGGTGGGCGTGAGGCGAGGAGGGCAGGCGAGGGGGGCACCAGGCCCCTCCTCCTGTTGCCGGGGGGCTCCCCCCTCCCCACGGGGCCCTCGCCCCTGCGGGCCGGAAGCCGCTCGCCTCCCAGCTGCCACCCAAGGGAGTCCAAAGCCAACCCAGTCAATCGGGGTGACTCAGAGACAGCAGAGAAATCCAGGCCTGGACGCGCAGGAGCCAGGCGGTGAGGGGCCAGAGATCCAAGCAGGCGCACTGAGCTGCGGTTTGGGCCCCCGGCTGCAGAGCCAGAGGCTGGGGGTTCGATTCCCGCCCCCACTTGCGCCTCCTCCTCCTCGACCGGGGCTGGATCCCTTCTCGCCCCCTGCCGTTCCAAGGGGGGGGTGATTCTGCGTTGCGCTCTTATGAAGCGGGCCGGCGGCCTCTCCATCGTCCCCCACGCCACCCCCCACCCCCACCGGGGCCTCCGAGGGCTGGACTCACGGCGGCCGACGTGACCGAGGACTTGCTGAAGAGCCGCTCGGCTTCCTTGAACTTGCGGTTCCGGCGATCGTTCTTGCTGTTAGAGTTTCTGGCTCAAGAGAGGAAGGGCCGTGAGGGACGGCTTCGACACACACAAACACACACACACGCACACCTGTCCCATTGGGGAACCCCACCTGGGAAGGGGAGGGGGAGCACCAGGGAGGGGGGCTGAGA